GGGGGGGTCCCTGCCTCATCCTAACGTGGCTTTTGTATTTCGACAGAGTATTTGTTCAGTGTCAGGCTTGGCTGCTCTGTTTGCCTCTCGTCTTTGTCTTTTCTAATGATGTTTGTCGTACGCCCCCAGCCCCGCTCTCTGTGCCAGGGAGGGGGGTGTCTCCCTGTGGACCCCCACACCGCACCACTGCTCTGCCCCTCTGTGGGGCCAGGGTACCCCCCTTGGCCCCCAGCACTCCTGCCCCATCCTGGGGAGCAGCTACAGCAGGAGAGGAGCGAGAAGCTGCAGAAGTGGTGGTTTTCCAAAGTGTGGAAATCCATTATTTTTATTTTTTCCTGTGTATCCCCCCTCTCCTTCAAAATAAGAAGCCTGGCCTTGGACACTGAAAGTTGTGAAGGGAATCATGCCCCTGCCCTGCATGCTCTTTTTAACTCCCTGCCAACCCTTTTTGGGGTGGAACAGGGTAAAAAAAAACAACTAAAGAGCATCAAAAAGGGACGCAGAAGGGCTGGGGGATGTCCCTGAGAGCCACCAACCCTGCCCTTGGGTAACACGGGCTGTGGGGGACTCGCAAAGAAAACAAATCCAAATCAGTTACTCCTGTCAGCTACTAAAAAGCCATTTTCACCTGCCATTATTCCACAGATGGGGAAACTGAGGCATAGAGCAGGTCAAGGGTTGCTCTGGACAGCCCCTGCTCTGCCCCACGGTGAGACACCACCCTGGGACCAGCATGGCCACACCGGGCTGTGCCCCAATGCTCCCCACGTCACTTCTCCCCATTTCTCCAAAGCCTGGGGTGTCCCCAGGGGCTGGGGCAGCAGTTACGGCCAGGTTTGGAACCAAAAAGCCCGTTATTCACCCCGAGTTTCCCGCGGAGAAGCGAAGTCCTGCTGCGGGCAGCTCCGATCTGCAGCAGCAACACACGGGGGCCCTGGGCTCCAGCATAACCGATTCCTCCTTAACCCTTTCCAAACGCACCGTTCTCGCTTGCATCTCGCTCATTCTAATCGTTTGCTCTTTTAAAAGTGTTGATTTCCCTCTGCCACTTGCTGCCCTGAGCAGGAGGAAGCCGACTCTCAGTAAACACATGCAGCAGGAAACAATAAAATCTTCCCTGGCTGGGGCAATAACTGCTCCTTCTCAACTCGTTCTGAATTTCTTCTCGATTTCTAAAATAACCAAGGAGGGGAGCAGCCCTGGCATCAAAATTCACACCTGTCAGCACAGGCCAGTGACAAACAGCTCCTTGGTGCCAAAAAATTGCCGTAAAGCACCATGTGGGGCAGCGGCACCCGCTTGGGGTCTCACAGCGGAGCCACGGATGCTCCCGCTCGCCCACCAACCATCCCCACGAACCAGCACCCACACCTCCGGCCACGCTGAGACCCGTCTGCCTTGTCACACAGCTCCAGCTCGCACCGTGCCACCAACGCCCAGGTCATCATTAACCTTATTCGCTATTTCAAGTGTTTCACTCTTTTCTCTGCCCTTTCTCTTTTCTTCTGCTCTTTTCTCTGGGTGGCTCCACCGCGGAAAGCTCCGGGTTTCTACCGCATCCTAGCGCACGGACCATGTGTCACCAGAGGGAATGCATGCATTTAGCGGCAGAAAAATGTGGGATTTAGCCACAAAATAATTCCTTGCATCATCTCAGAGCCGTACTGCCAACTCATCCTTTACCACAGGTG